GGCAAAAACGCATAAAAATGGAGAAATTGAGTGCAGGATAAAGTGTTGTGGAGGCTGGCAAAAGGAATAAAAATAAGAACAGATTATAAAGGTGTCAAGATCATGTGCGAAACGTTCGGCTGTCACGTGCTTTTCACATATGCCAAAGGATCTTGTGGTGTGGTAAAACACATTTCGCACTCCGAACAGAACAAAGCAGATCGCACATTTCAAAGTTTGTTGCGTCCACAGCACATAACTAAACGCTTGATGATCTGAACCTTTGACGCGCAAAACTATTAACAGAAGAAAATGGGGGTATTGAAATGCATTTGCATGCGACCACATTGAATTACGAAAAAAAAGAGGGAGAAGAGTTAAAAGCACCGCCGAAGACAGCTGTCCGAAGAAACTAATCTTGGCATACCCCCACCGGGATTTATAATTTTAGCTTTTTGGCTCACTTTTTTCCCAGCTTCAAATTTTTTCACCTTACGACAGTGAGGAAGTGCGCTATACTAAATTTCCACTCGCTTTTTGCAGCAAAAACTTAAATTCAGTTCTCACTGCATGGATCCACTGATGTGGGCAACTTCTACTCCCACTGGGTGTCTATATTTACAGCTAAGGGATGAAACGTAGGCTGAACTGCACTCCACATGACTGTTTAGCATATGCAAAAAGTATATGACGATACGACATCTTGCATATATCTTGGCTTCTTTATTCTTATTCCTTTTGTCAGCCTCCTCAACGCTTCACCACCTGCACAAATTTCCCATTTTTTTTTAAATTTTTTTTTTTTTCAAAAAGCCAAACAACAATTCCAATACCTCTGAGAAGAATGTGAAAGCGTCGAGACAGATACGTTCTCACTGCAAATAAAGCAGCAAACCTTGGCCGTAGTTTTGTAGTAGTGATAGCTGATGTGTGCAGTGAAGTCGACAGAAAAGCCAATGGCCATGAGAAGGGCGGCCATTGAGATGGGATCCAAATCGACGCCCAAATGCGACAGAATGCCGAATATGCCAATACTGATACTGAAGACGGAATACACAGCGCAACCAATGCTCACTGCGTTCGGGATGAAGATGAAGCAAGCTGTTGCGGTGCAGCATAGTGCCGCAAGCACGCTCCACAGCACCGTACTCTCGATCGTCAAAGTCTGTAACATACTAATTATCAACTTTACAGTACAACAATTATAGACCCAATAAATCGAAGATAGTAAAAACAAAAATGCGTACAGGCTTTTTTGTGAAACATCTTAGTAACTGAATTCCGTATTTTGTAAAGAGTATGGAATCATAAATGCTTCGATCAGATTTGAAAGGCAAACTGATAAAAGTGGCAACCAATTCACACAGTGTCGAGACTGAGTGGGGTCATGGTATGCTTGGCAACTATGCCTCTAATCCATCTTGAAGAAAGTTTTAACTTGAAAGGTTTCGAACCTGACACTGCCTAACTCCTGTTTTTTCCAAAAATGGTGAGACGTCTGTGTCGGGAATTTTGTGGGCGAAAAGGATATGTAAATATTTTGAAAATCCCGTTCCGTTTTTGTACGATGACATGAAGATAAAGAAGACAGATTTTCTAGTCAAATGCACAAGTTTTATTGTTCAGGGACGAATCCCCAACTACAACTGGCCGTGTCTGAAGTATCGTAACTTGTGTTTTACCGAAATTAAATATACTTCTCAAAAATCATGAAGCCTGCCTAAATCGTTCTGCCCAAAAACAGATCTCCGCTGGACACAGAGAAACAAGATGCCCGTGCTTACACCTTCACTAACAGCAAAACTGTTCCAAACAAAAGGAAAGTGGAGCTGAAAGATGCGTAGTTTGGCCGGCAGAGATGGTCAAAAATAATAGAGCTAGTAAGTACAGCTAACCCGGTTCAAAAACGTTGAATTTAGTATAGCGTTGTCATTTTGAAGTCATGTACATGGGAAAATAAAAAA